TCAGGCTGTGCAAACTAACTTTGGCTTCTTCCCTGATTCACGAAGGCACTCCCAGCCCACTTCCCAGAGGGAAGAATGTCTTCCATCCGTCTGCTTGAAATAGGATACTCAGTTTAACCAGTAATTCTGGTCTCTCCATTTTTCCCCTCATGTACAACATATCAAAAAAGCAAATGATGCCTAAAACATCAAAATATTTTATTCAACTGAAAACAATTATATCCATTCACAAAATGAAAAGTAATAGAGCATTAAACAGCAGGAAGAATCTGCTCTTCAATCTTTAAGGCTCTCTACTGCAATGGTAAGGATAACAAAAAACCAATAACAATGTGGGGAACAAGAATCTCAACCTTTGTCTAAGCCAGTACATCCTAGGAAGGCTGGGCCACAGCAGAAGGATGAGTGAATGCCCACTTACCAAATGAAAAAGAGAATTAAAAGTTATAAAAAGAAGTGAATAAATGAGTAAATGAAATATATTCTATCTTCCTGCTTTGACAGCTCTATCTTCTTAATAACAAGGAAGACCAAGTTCACATTCAGGGTTCCACACTGACACATGCAGACATGGGGAGACACTCCCCTGATGCCTGTGCACCCCTGCATCCAACCCCACGGGCAGCCTCAAAGGCACAGTTGAGGGTAATATGGATTGTACATCCAAGCAGTTCAAACCCTACCTGTCAGCTGGCCCTTGGCAGCCTCCCAGCTTTAGAAATACACAATTATCTGAGATGCCCTCACAGCACTGGAATCAGACCTAGGGAATTCACGGAGCCTGGGCAACCAGACATGGTCTTGAAAGAGAATGTACACTTCAGATGGTTTGTTCCCTTGGCCTCTCAGACTCCTCACCTAGTATACCCCAAGGAAACCAGAAGAGGACACTTTTGAGCTTGGGACTCAGGACAAGGACACTTCTTGCCTTGGTCTAAAGGCAACACCAACTGGCGCCTGTCCACAGAATCTTCTCAGAACTTGCCCCCAGAAGTTGTTCCATAAGAGAGATGACTCCTCACACCTTGTCCCACAGACATACGGCCTCTACGGAACTTCCTTGTGCTGCAGCTGCTTTTAAGGGACACCTCCACTCTCATAGTCTGCTGCATGAAGCACAAGCAAATGTCAGGCAACTAGCTTCTTTCTAATATCTCATTACTGACATTTCTCTTTAGCCTGAAACTGCAGTCCAAGTTTCTCATTTCCTCCAAATTTAAAAAGCTTGTTTTTTCTTGACATTTTATCCTGTCCCAGGATAATTCTATTCATTCACCCTTTCCCCAAGGGGAAAATGGGGAATATATACAGGTGCTGGACAATGACCACCTTAAGGTCATCGCTTCTCACTCACCTCCCATAAGAGACTAATAATGCTCAGTTGCTTTCTAAATTAATAATTATTTATATCTAACTTTGTGTCTTTACCCCTAGGCCCTGATTGTTTTCTGATTTTATTAGAATATCCTTTGTTTGAGGTTATCCCCACCAAGAGTCCTAAATCTGAAATCAATTCAATGAAAACCACCAGAGTTATCATTCTGGCACCCCTTTCCCTAAGCCCAGCGGGTGCCCTTCATCCCTCCACACAAAAGGTTATCAGAGAGCTTCACCAGCAGCTGCCTTTACCATCAGTCATTTTCTCTTCCTCATCCACTCCCCACCTGCTTTCTCTCTTCCACTCACGTTAAGCTACCTCTCTTTTGTCCACTTCTCTCATACTTCTCTGTGCTGCTAATATAGCTCTCTCTGTTCTAAACAAGTACCATCTTCTCAACCAGGATTTGTTAAAAGCCATCCTCATGGACAGTGAAAATTGTCACCAGGCCAAGACATGGGGAAGATATTCAGGAGGCAGACTTACTCTCTTCTATTCAGCGCATTAAGTTCTCCTGCGCTAAGAAGGAGTGGGGTGAAAACAGGGCCAGCTTCATAGGTTTGCATCTGATGCTTCATTTGGTTTAGTGTTCTGTCTTCTTCCTAAAATTCTTGAAAACTTTTTTCTGTGTGAAGTCCAATGGGACACCTGGGCATTTCAGTGAGCTGAGGTGAGCCACACACTATGCCTGCCTACTGTTCACTGCCACCCCACTCGCATAAAGCACTCACAGTGCCCCAGGAGCACAGAATTCCTGTGGATCTACAAAGTTGGGGAGTTCAGCTACACTGACAGCAAGTACAAGGTAAGTTACATCTATGGCTGCGTAAGTAAAGGTGCTGACCCCACCTCGGAGCCACACTTTCCACTCTACCCAGAACTGGCTCCAAAAGCAAAACGGAAGGCAGTGGCCGTCTAAGTAACCCAAATAACCTAGAAATCCTACCATGTTTTCTGTTACTCCTAGTACTTCCCTGTACTAGCCAACCACTTGCCTGAAAATTTTGACATAGAAACACAGATAAAATAGTAGTTCCTTTTCCTGTCGGTCCTTCTTTTTCATCAGTGAGTAAAAGGTAAAGTATTGTTAGATGTGGCATATTAAGAAACATAAAGAGTTGAGTTAGTTTTTTTTATTTTAAGATTTTATTTATTTTTAGAGAGAGAGGAAGGGAGAGACAAAGAAAGGGAGAAACATCAATGTGCGGTTGCCTCTCGAGCACCCCTCAGTGGGGACCTGGCCTGCAACACAGGCATGTGCCCTGACCAGGAATGGAACCGGTGACCCTCTGGTCCACAGGCCAGTACTCAGTCCACTGAGCCACACCAGCCAGGGCTCAGTTGAGTTAGTTGTATGCAGCACTTCCACTGTTTTGTTAGGGGCAAAATACACATGTATGTATGAACCACCAAACATGAAATGCACAATTTTGGTGAGTCCACATATCAGCAAAATGCTTTCACATTTGCATTTAAACTTGGCATTGCACGTCATAAAGATGAACGGTGAAATCAATGTGGTAAGTTTAAATGTCAATGTGTCTTTACTTAGAACTTCATTAAATGGCAAATTTAAAACATTATGAAAGAGGCAGCAAAAGGAAGGAAGAAGCTTCATAGTTTGATACCTTTAACTATATCTTTTTTTCCTCTATTTGAACAAAAAGCCCCATATTTTCTTTTTGTATGGGGTCATGGAACTTATGTAGCCACCCCCCAGTGAACAATGAAAAGAGATCGAGTGGGACAGAGGCTGGGCTGGAAGAGGTCAGGGCTGGACCACAGCCTAGTAGGATGCAAACGTGTCTAAATGGTTTTTTTTGACACCAGAATCCCACATTGAAACACATCCAGTGTGTCCTATCTCATTCAGAGTTAAAACCAAAATTTTCACTATGGTTCTATCCCACCAATACCTCTCTGCCTATCTCTCCAAGCTCATCTCCCACCACTCATCAGCTTTCACAGCTCCAGCAAGGTTACACTACACACATTCTCCCACCTAACAGACATTCTTCCACCCCGAGACTTTGCACATACCATTGTTAGGCAGGATAGATAGTAAACCAAAGCAGGGAGGAGAGAGACATATCTCACTGGTCAATTCAGCAGTCCTGAGCCCAGTCTGATAAGATTGCCAGGAGTTCTGAACATCATAAGCAAAGATAGCATGAGAGCAGGGGAGTCCTTGAGACTCTGTGGTGGGAACAGGAGCCTCTGTAGAAATTTCACTGACTGAGATGGAAAGCCTTTACTAGCTGAGAAAAAAAGACTTTGTAACTGTATATGAATCTTAAGGTCTGGAAGGGGGAGATATAGGGGTACCTAGAAGCTGGCTAAAGTATATACCTCCTGGAGTCCAGTAGACTGGGCGCTCAGATTCGCTGGATGCTCACTTTCAGCTTTTTGCTCAAGTGTCTAGACAAACTTACAGCTTCATTTTCCAATACACATGAAGCACTCAGATTAGCTGAATACCCGCTTACAGCCTTTTGCTCAAGTGTATTTCATAAATAAACTTGCTACCTCATTTCCACTATACGTGTTGTCTCTCACCTGAATTCTTCCCCTGTAGGCAGTGTAAGAACCTAGGAGGGGAGCCCCTGGCTTGAGTCTCCCCAGTAACTCCATCACTTTCTCTAGAACACTTTACTCCCAGGATACCTGGAGCACCCACTCTCTCACATCCTCAGGCATCTCATCAAATGTCACTGGGCAATCTTGGTCCCCGCTGGAATGTAAGCTTCATGAAGGTAGAGACTTTTCGTCAGTTTCATTCACTCCTGTGTATTCAAACTTAAACAATATAAATATGTTGAATGAATGAAGCTAATATACTTCCTAAAGTCTGAAGTCAGTTAGAGATAAGAAAAGCTTATTTAATATGGAGGCATAAAGCTGGATGAGCTTTGATATTACAAAATAATCTCTAAGTTGAATCCACAAATGTTGTCTGACTCCAAAGTCAGGAAGCATTCTGTTTACCAAAAGCCACCCAGCTAAGGCGCCAAAGGGCCTGGGGCTCAGAGAGGGGAAATGGACTCTGCATTTAATGAGCTGGGCAACCATAAGAAATAACTAGAGCCCATTAGAGCTTTGAGTCTCTTAGCTATAAAATGAACATGATTTAACAATACCTGCCCTCCTTATCTCACAGGTTTTTGCCTCTAACAAATGAGATAATAAACATAAACAAGATGAAATGTTAAAGAAATGCTAGGGAATTGTATCTGCCCCGCTAGTTAAGGAAACAGGGGAAAACAGGGGGGCCTGGTAGTGGGGATAGCAGGGCTGCTGGGCCATTTAGCTACAACTGGTATTTTGAGAGCCTGGAATGAAAGAAGCGATGCAAAGCAGCAGATGCTGGGTCCTTGTTGATCTTTCACAGGGTGACCCCCGTACATCTCTCATTTGACATGAATGTCACTGAGCCCAATTAGGATTAGCCTTTCACATAACATTCAAATTCCTGGACTTCCGAGAACGGCCATATAAGGGAGGAACAGACAGTGCAGATAAGAGGAGAGGAATGGAGAGGTGAAAGGTTACAGAAAAAAAATGGAGATTTTTACATTCCCCACACAAAGGACAAGCTGCTTCAACAAATCCTGTAATTCTGGAAAATATTTAACTAGAGAATATTTATTTATCCAAGTTGTTGGGTTCTTCTCTTTCCCAGCATTACTGCGTGGGTGGGTTTTTCTTTTTATTTTTACTTCCGGACCTTATTTTTGTTTTGTTAATTTGTTTTGTTTGTATTTGTTTCAACTTATATTTATTTGTTAAATGTTTCATTTCCTTTTGTTGCACTCACTATGCGAGCTGAGCTCTATACTCAGATCCGAAGTCACTTCTCGTCTCCCAATTTAGCCGGCTTCAACACAGCGCAGAACTCTTCAGGGTCAGGTTCTCGCCTCCAGGAGAACATATTTTTAAAACTCATTTTCATGCTAACGATGCTCCTGCAAAGATGGTGAGGCATAGAAAATCAAATTGTGCGTGACTTTTAATCAGGACACTGAAGCATTTTTTAAGCACCCTTAGATACTTTAAATAAATCTTCTTGGTAATTTCAGGGCTCCAGATTTCTTATGCAGAACATGTTTAAAATAAAAATAAAAATGCTTTGACATCTACCAAAGAGGGGAAGTAGGAGTGGCTGTCAGAAGTGGGCAGCCTGACAGTGCTCCTAATGAGGGAAACCCTGCACTCTATTTTTAAGTCAACCTGTGTAATTTAGGAGAGAAGTCACCACGTCTCCTGATAAAGCTTTTGGGGGCTGCTGAAGGATAAGTTTGCAGTGCTGAAAATGGCATTGCCACCCACACTGAGAAAACTGAGTCTTGAGATTCTGCCTTTTTGCAGTTCAAAAAAAAATAAGATGTGCATTTCCTGAGTAAAGGGAGGCAGCTTTTAAGAGAAAACACAAAAGTCCCCAAGTCTTCAAAGATTGCTGCGAACACTGCCATTTTGGTGTTGGTAAAAAGCAAGAGAAGTGATTGATGTTGCGTTTGAGCAACATGGAGAAAATGAGTGGTGGTTCATAAATACAAGTGGTTGTTTAAGTAATTCCAGTGAGCAACATGGAGCAAATATGACAGAGTTTGAACAGTGGGACCTCCAATACTCCAATACCTGGTCCTCAGAGAAATGGTGAGGATGCAGATTTTGTCTGACAGGCAGGAGTGCAAAATGATTCAGCAGAAAGAACATGGACTCCCAGCTCCCAACTGTCTAGTGGAATGCATAATCTTAGTTATTTAATATCTCTGAGCCTTGGTTTTCCTCTTCTATAAAATGGATTTGATGACACTGTACCTTGCAAGGTCACTGTGAGAATTAAATAACACAGAATAAGTGGCACTTAACGAGACCACAGTAAAGGGCACACACCCTAAGCATTGGCCAGACTTTGAATTCTTGAAAGGGTGGTATGAGCAACCAGAAGGGGTTTTCAGTGGGGGTGGGGGAGGGGAACCACTCATAATCTTCTCAGTAGTCAAATAAATGGCCCAGCTGCCTCCTCCAGCTTCTGGTTGACCAATGCCTGGTCCTGACTGAAGCTTTGACTAAGAGGTCAGCACCCTATTCCCCAATCCTTCCCTCCCACTCCCCCCCACCCCCACCCCCAACACACACTCCGCAGGCCACAGCCAAGAGCACACACTGTGCCCGTGCCCAGCCCTGGGCAATCCTGACCCAGGTCCCACAAGGGCAGTTGTCTGTCTGAATGGAGCCTCTTATTAAAAATTAATTTCTGTCAAGCCCGATTACATATGAACACAGCCTCATTGTGATCACTACTGTGATTTCTGGAAACAAACATAGGCCCTACTGTTGCCAAAACCAAGGGGCAGTTTAGGACAATTCCTAGACTTGATCTATGAATAGGGAGACACAGCCAGCAGATTCCCTGAGGCTCACAGAGGCATTTGTTCCTAAGAGACTCTGATCTGCCCCACCCTCCTCCTCCGGCTCCTCCCTACCCCACCCCCATTTGCCCACTCCCTAAGGCAATGTGTAGAGATGGAAGAGCCTGATCCTTAGTGCAGATGGACACCAAATCCAGATTTTACCCAAAAGCATGCCTGCCCTTCGAGAGCTCAGGCTTCCCTCTGAAAATACAGAATGATTCTGATAACACTACTTTCTAACTCACAGTTGTTGTGGGAGGATTAAATGAGACAATATACAGGGCAAGCAAAAGTAGGTTCACAGTTGTTCCTATGGAAAGTAATACAATAACTGATAAATAATAATGCAAGAATAAACTGTTTCACATACAACTGTAAACTCCCTTTTGCCCACCCTATATACAAAGCACCTGGAACAGAGAGAGCAGGCCCTCAATAAATACCCATCCCATCTCCCACTACCACCCAGCACTGCATGTTCCTATACTGGAATATTGTCCTCTGTTGTGTGTCTTCTTAAGTTAGGGCACAAAATCAAGGGTTCTCATATTCTTGATAGGAACTGATCGAGTAGAACAGAGATCAGAGGTTAAAATACTCTAGACCAGATTTATATAGCCCACATATCTCCAGCAAAATGGGATTTTTCTTCCCTGCATTAATTGCTTCTTCTACTTTCATTTCGTAAGACCAAGGAGAAGTGAGAATTGGAGGTAGAAAATTCAGTGTGTCCTGCTCTTCTCCCTACTTTATACATCTTCAATATTTTTGCCACAACCAACTCTGACCTGGCATTGTATAATCTTCTGATGTGGAGAGAACCCGACTTCTAAAATGGGTGTTTCCCTGTTGACTGAGAAAGAATAAAAAGAGCAACAGTGTCCAGTGAAATGAGGGTGGCAAGTCGGAAAGCAGGCAAACGTGCAATAAGAATCAGATATAAAATATGAGGTCACTGACCCAGCCATCCACTTCCAGGAATTTATCCAAAGGAAACAATTAAGCAAACATAAACCAATGGTTTTTATTATGGTATTGCTGATCATAGGGAAAAATTATAAACTAGCTAATGTTCCTTAATAGGAAGTTGAACATATAAATTATTTTATTACATTCATATATTTGTATTCAATTTTATGAATGTAATAAGTGTAATGATTTTTAAAGATAAAATAAAGGTATACTTAGTCACATGGATAGTTCTCTGTAAGTTGGTAAATTTGAAAAAGCTGGTTAAAAAAATGTGAAAATAATTCTGTTTATGTAAAAATAGAAAAATTCTTACATATATTTATATAAGCATTTTAAAGCACAAAGTATGCTCTGTCAAACTTTGGTTATCTTTGATGGGAGAATTAGAAGAATACTTTAAAAAATATTTTATAAACTTAAGCATGGTTTAAATTTAGTAATTTGAGCCTATATATATTTATAATTACCCAAACAAAATAGAAATTTTTCTTTATTTTTTAAAGGGTGCTACAAGATTTAACTTTTCTCATATAGAAAATAAAAGAATTAAAAGGATGACCTAATAACAGAGTTTAAAAATAAACAATGCAAAAACTGTTAGACAAAAAATTTAACAATCAAGTCACAGATCTGAACATTCCTCCCTAGCAATTAACAGACTAGCTAGGCAAAATATCTATAAAAATATAGAAGATTTAAAGATCATCAAGTACCTTGAACCAGTTATTTATGAACATTGACCTGGCAACTACAGATTGCATATTCTCTTCAAGTGCAGGTGATATGTTCACCAAGATAAACCATGTGCTGGCTCATAAAACAAACATAGTAACTAAAGAAGTTAAAATTATACAGTGTGTTCTCTGACCACAGTGGAGTTAAATTAGAAATCAATTTTAAAAATATCTAGAAAAATCCCAAATGTTTTGAAATCAAGTAACACACTTCTAAATTAGCTATAGGTCCAAGAAGAATTTATAAAGAAAATAGAAAATATTTTGAGCTAAATAATAATGAAAATATAGCTTAAATACAACATATCAAACTTTGTGGGATGCAACTAAAGCAGTGCTTAGAGGGAAAATTATAGCTTTGAAGGTTTATATAACAAAAAAGAAAGGTATAAGATCCATTATCTAAATTTCCTACTTTAGAAGCTGGAAACAAGAAGAACAAAATAAATCCAAAGTAAGTAGATGGGAGGAAATAATTCAAATACCAGCAGAAATCAAGGACATGGTAAACAAACAACAGAGAAAATAATCATAATAAGAATGTTGGATATAGATCTTTAAGCCTACATTTTTCCAAGAAGTTTAATAATTCTAAGTGCTTTTAGGATATCGGATTCCCCAAGACTTTCTTTCTATCTCTGTTTGGGTGACACATGGTTCTATTTAGCAAACATTTCTTTATTTGCATGTTTCTCCCAGGCAAAAACTTATGTAAGACTTAGATTTCTTATACCCCTAGAGCATAAGCAAGTATGTATTACCTATCTAATGAAATTCAGTGACCAAGACCCTTACCAACACTTACATTATCAAGGATCTACAAAGTGTATGGCACTGTGTTTTATGAAGGCATATCATTAACATGCATAACACTTACGTTTGTTCATGCCTTCTCTAATGTTTATGGAGCATTTCACATGCACCAGGCACTCTTCTAGGTAATGGGTTAACAAGAGCACTCATAAGCTAGTTTTTATTACTCCCATTTTACAGTTGAGGAAACTGAGTTACAGAGAAGTTAAGTAGGCAGCTCAGGATCAGAGTATTGGCTGAGCAAAGATTTGGTACAAGTAACCCTGGAAGGGTTACTGTTATGGCTCTTTCACAGATAAGAAGACTGAGGTCAAGATTGCTAGAAGGACTTACTCAGGATCTGACAGTTACTGTGCTACATGCAGGGGTTTGTGCCAAGCATTTCACAGCTACCAGTCTCACGACAATCCTGAGGTTTACACTTCCCAACCACTAACATTGTTGCCACTGGGGGTTGCCTAGATCTTAGCCACAGCATGTTTATTAGTAGTAAAGCTGGGATATAGTCCCAGCTCACCCTGATTTCCAAGTCCAAGAAGTAGGTCCTGCAAAAGTTTTCTGGGTTATGAGTCCTGGGTGCTAAAGACAAAAGCGACTTTAGGAAAAAAGGAGAGATTTTATTTATTTAGGCTCATGTCAAGAACCTTGTTTTTCCCACCAAAATAAATCCCAGATGTACCTAAAATATAATTTTAAAAATCTTCAAAAATGCTGCCATTCCTCCAAATTAAGGAATGAGCTCCAAAATATATCGAAATCTCTATCCCTAAACCTCACTTTTTCACATCTCCTCCCTATAGGTTGATTTACCCACAGTCTTACCCAAGTCAAAAGACTGGCCTAACCCTAGTTTCCCTTGAAATACATGACTTGAGGCTACTTGAGCTTCCTCTGTCTTTTTGTGACCTTCTGATGACCTGGGAGTTCCACCCACTTTGATTGGGGGCTGTCCCGCCCCTCAATCTACACATCAGTGGGACTCAGTGTTCCTTTTGCTTGAATGGTTCTTCAGAGAACCTTACTCATTTAGCAACCCAACGACTTCCTTTCCTATTTCTCTGGCTTTACAGGTAATAACCCACCTCTCCTCCTCAGCAGGCAGGCTCTGGGGGGTGGGGAGAGGGGATGGTGATTGATTTACCATTCTCCTTATGTTTTGTTTGCCTGTTTTGATTGTTTTTCTTTCTCCTGTGGAATAAAAAGTCAAATTGTGTTTTCCTTTCACCATTTTATGACTTTAGATGTCAGCTAGTAATCCTTTGACTTCTCTTCCTACGTTAGCTTTTGTTTCTTAGTATAATTATAGGCCTCACTACCTCAGAGGATACTACTTCAGATGATGGGACTTTAAATTGGCCTATCCTTAGCCTGAAGAAATCATCCTGAAAAAGGCAGAACAATACAAGAATCATGCTACTAAATTAATATCACTGAAGCCCAAAATCTGAAAAGAAAATATTAAGAAAGAGATTTTTTTTAAAAAGAGGAAAAAAAGAACTGGAAAATGTTTGACTCAGCTGGCTTAAGGATACAGACTTCCTATCCGCCCACAGAGGGGTAAGGAAAAGGCCTTTGCCGAGAAGAATGACCACCAGCAGCAAAACCCTGCAGTTCTGAAATCCAACCACATGAAATACAAAGTGTATTTAGCATAAAGGAAGTAAACTGCACAGAAAATGTTGTGGTTGTGCAAAGAATTCTACAACTGCAATAAATTACAAAGAATGCATTTAACAAATTTTGTGACTAGCTTTCAAAAGCCTCTCACATCTCTCAATGGTCTCTAAAGTAAACACATCTCCCACACGGTGACACCTCTTTCTACAGAACTAAGTCCTCTGCTCTGAAATGATGTGACTTTCCACTTGGGGCAGCTTACAAATACTTTTCCCAAATGAGAGCACAACAGAATTCAACCTCATTTCCTCCATTGCTCAAAGAACGTGCCATGTTGGGCTGCACGTTAGTACGCATCAACCAGGAAATATTTAGTAAACAAATTTGTACTCCATTTATTCTGAGTTTACTTTAAGAAGCCACTTATCTCTTTTGGAAGGACTTCCCTTGCCAATCACCTTGTGGAAAAGGCTGGGAGAGACACTCCCTGAGGACGTGCAGAATCCTAGATCACCAGTTTGTATGGGAGAAATAATCAGCTAAACTATCTACATCTTAAGATCTTCCCTTTTCCTTCCAATGACAATCGTTCTTCTTAGAGCAACTGAAACACGTACACAGGTATACACAAATGGACAAGAGCATGGACACACATGCACGTACACACGCATTGCAAGGACTCTTCTGGTACATTCTTGGAAGCATGGCCATAATTTCTTCTGCAGTGATAGTTTATGCTAAAACACCAAAAGTAAGTAATAATTTTGAAGGGAAAAAAGTCTCTTAAAAGTCACATTGTTGAAAACTTCATTTAGCAAAGAGCACTGAGGCCCAGGTATAAATTCATTCCAAAGAATTTATACTCCCTGAGAATTTTGAGACAAGATTAGAGTATCTTCTTATCTGATCTCTCACAGTGGAAAGATCAAAGACTCTGAGGTCACATCAGCCTAGGTTCAAATTCCAGCTTCCACCATTTACCACCTTGGTGATCTTAGGTAAATTAATCTCTCTTTTCCCATCTGCAAAATGGAAATGACAAAAGTTAAAAGGATCCAAAATATACATACCACTATGAAGAGTTGTTTCTTTTTTTCCCCCTAAACTCCTGACCTGCCTAAAAGCTGAGCCTACCAAAAGAATTCAATTGCCATAAATTCCCTCCAGGAAATGTCAAAACTAGGGAAGTATGACTCCTATAACTGGAGAGAAGTCAGCACTACAATAAGAAATCACCTGAACAGACACTGTCACAAAACTATCACGTCTCCTAAAAACCCATTGATCTTTCCTAAAAGTCATTGTTTCCCCATAAAAACCTTTCTCTCCTCCCCTTCTCTTATTAAGATGGTATATAAGCCCTAATTTTAACCACCTACTTAGGTCATACTTTCCTGAGCACTCCAGCAAACATGTGTGAATAAAAGTTTGTCTTTTCTCTTACCAATCTGTCTTCTGTCACTGAATCTAAGAAGTTAGAGGACAAGTTTTTCCTCCCCAAAAGAGCAAACACGTATTAGTTACTTACAATGAACAAAGCACTGTTCTAAGAACACTATGTGTGTTAATTAATTAGTTTCCCACCATGTCTCTATGTTACTTCCATTTTAGAGATAAGAAAACAGAGGCACAGAGAGGTTAACCAATTTGCTTAAAGTCAGACAGCTAGTAAGTGGTGGTGTCAGGATTTGAACTTAACAATCTATTGCATTTATGAGAGTAATCTCTACCTCACAAGAATGAACCAAAAATTAGAGGAGATAATCTGCATGCAGCATCAGGCCTGGCACAAAGGAAGGGCTCAAACAATATAGATTGCATTTTTACTCTCAGAAAAATGTATCGATGTACTGCTGACGAAACGAGAGTGTTTCCCATCTCTCACCAAGGGCTAGGGTACAACAAGAAATTTCATCAGGGTGGAGGGTGTGGGGGTTTCTGAAAACAGACAAGGATGAAAGAGCCAGAGAATAAAAATTTGTCAGGATTGTCTAGCACCATGCAATGGACCTCAATAGTCCAGTGACTAAAAAGGTGTGGGCTTTCGTTTTGTTTTGTTTGTCTGATCAGAGTAGGAATATTGTCTCAACTCTGATATAAACTGGATGAGGCATGCCACAAACTCCCACTGTTCCCACGGGCACCAGCAGTCTGGCAATGAGGGAATCAGAGAACCTGATTCCCCCGACCCCATCCTGGGAAGGGAACGGCCAGTGGAATGAGCAATGTCCACATCACTGCAGAGAGTATAAAACAGATGTTAAGAACCTGGGCTTTAAAGTCACACAGATCTGTGATCAAATACTGGTTTTACCAGAACTTACTTGGGAAAACTACAGCAACCTTAATTTAAATCTTAGGGATTTCTATTTTCTCATTTGAATGATAGAGATTTATTATAAAACCTACCTCACAGGATACTCAGGCTAGCCTCGCGTTAATAGGTCAATGTGTGTTCTTGGGTAAATTTATAAATTGGCTTTGTGACTCATCAGCCACTTGAAGAAAATCTTGCAGAGATCCTTTCCTTCTACCCCCACCCCCAAAACAAACAAATAAGCAAACAAAAGAAAACATTCTCGAGTTTCTCTAAAGTCTTGTAGTACTTTTTCTGGATGTCTATTGTAGAAATAGGTGGCATTACTTTCCATGTGCCAGCCAAAGTGCTAAGCACTTTACATGCATTTTCATGTAATCCTGATAAGAACACTATGAAGTAAGTAATATTAGCTCCATTTTTTCACAGATGAGAAGAGGAAAATTTTAATGAGGTTAAGTAACTGGTATAAAGTTACACAGGTAGCTGGTGATGAACCTGATATTTGAACCTGCAAGAGTCTAAAGCCATAGCCTATGTTCTTAACTTTAGGCTGTTTTTCACGTTATACCTTATAATGATTTATGCTCATTATCAATTTCATTTCAAGATTAAAAGGTCAAGATTGGTATATCAGTTATATTTTTATGGCACCTAGAATATTCTTTGAACACAACAGCTTGCCTATTATTGAATGAATGAATGAATGAATGAATGAATAATTCTGTACCATAATTCCACTCTTCAGAACCTTGTCAATTATAATTTATTTGCAATAAGTGCTTTATATCAATTATCTCCTTCTGTGCTCACACCAACTTCATTAGCTAAGGGTTACTATTCCCATTGTGCAGATGAGGAAACCAAAGCTCAGAGAGATTAATAACTTGCCTAAGGTCACATGGCTAATAAATTACAAAGCTCTATTTCCTTCTGGGAAGACTGAACCCTCTTGAGTTTGTAACCATCATTCCACAGCTGAGAACCAGATCTGCACTGAAATGGCATTCTCAAAGTACAGATACATTCTATGGCCCACTCAGCCAGCATCCTTTTTTAAAATTTTTTAACTCTTAATGGTTTTTGCCAAGGAGTTAGAATGGCAGTTAAAATGTGAAACTTTGTCTAGAAATCAGTGGCAATTTCAAAATTCCTTTTTAAGAAGGGTTTAGAAATAGCAATTTCCTTGGAATTGAGGTGGGGGAAAGAGGGGCACAAAGATCTTTTTCTTTTTGGAAATTATCATAAAACTACATTTTCCCAGGAGGCTCAGTAATTTTTAGTCAGATCATATTATCTGCAGATTTCTGGTGGATATGATAGGGATACTTTAAAGGGACTGGGTGTTCATAAATCTGTACATGAACCAGTCTTGCCTGCCATTTGCCAAAGAGATTTAAACATCAATACAGTGAAATCTCATATTTATAAATAACAGCAAGATTTTCTGGCAATTGAAATACCAACCTGACAAGAATACACGTCGAGAAGATCTCCCAGAGCTGTGTGAGTGGGCAGGGGACCTGTATGCTCAGTGGAGACAGCGATACATAATGCCCACAGGGACAGAGAGCCCACCTTGTTCCCAGGAGCCCACGGCGTCTGAGTGCAGACGTGATCCAGGAAGAGGATGATGGCATCATCGCAGACCATTCCCTGAAGAAGTCGGTCCAAAGTATTGTGGCCGTCACAAAAGCAAGCACCATCAGGAAGGATGTTAAAAAACAAAATAGAAAGCACAATCTCATGAATGCTCAAACACACGCACACACAGCGACACCGAGACACCAGAATTCATCTGCCTCAGAAATACTGGGTGGAGATCCAGTCATTAAACCTCAAAAATGTCATAATGAAACTGGAACATATCCAAAGAGGGACACTTAAAATTATTAGACTTTGTGAAGAAACCAGAAACTTTAAAACACTTCAGTCTGGAAAGACAAAATATGAGAGCTGGTGGGCGAGAACCTATAAAACCGCAGAGGGTACTGAGAGAGCAAATACACGGTGACACCACCTTCTAGCATCACAGCAGACCCAGAAGCCCTGGTAAAATTAAGGTATTTTTAAGACCATGTGTGTTTTCAAATGCTAGTTTGTAGGGCAGATAATAGAGAAAAATCATAACTCTAAGAGAATCTGTAGTAGTGAGCTCATTACAACTAAACACTATGCTCAGCCTTTTGATGTCCATGTTACGGAAGACATGTAGCAAGCTCCTTCCACACTGTCGAACACTCTGAGAAAGAAGATGCTAGATTAAATTAACTGCTGGTTTAATACATATGGCATATCTGGTAATTTCCAAACCGATTCCCAGGCCTTATATCCAATGATTCTGATTCAGGGCTTATGGGATTTAGACAATCTTTTCCAAACGAGAATGCAGACTGTAATCTGATTGGCTGGACTTAAATCATATCTTATCCTTGAACCAATCACTGAAGTGGGAAAAGATTGCATTCTTCTTGGCCTGGCCTGGGTCTAGAACCCACCCCTGTGGTGGGGAAAGAAAGTGGGGGGCTAATATTAGTTCTCCTCTTCTTCCCAGTATCCTTAGTTATATTAGGCGATGTATGTGCCCACCTAAAAGTCTGCAGCCCCCAGGCTCTCTAGTTGTGGCTACATGGTCAATTCTGTACACACAGTACAAGTCTGGTGTAGGATTTCAAAGAAGTTTTTAAGGGAACTGACTCTGTGGGGAAGTGCACTCTTTTTCCTTCCCTCCTTTCTCCTTCCCACTGCCTGAAATGTAAAAATGATGACTAGCAATGGAGCCACCATTTTGGGGCCATGGGAATAAAAACTAGAATGAGCTCAAGTTCCAAATTATCCTGCAAAGTTGCCCAATTATGCCAGCATTTCCCATTTCCTCATTTTATAGAATAGAATAAGCCCTCGTGAGTTGTAATGGCTTTTATTTTTTATTTTTTTATCTTCACCAAGGACATTTTTTTCATTGCTTTTAGAGAGAGAGGAAGGCAGAGAGAGAAACATTGACAAGATTTAAAAGGATTTTATATTTTATTTTATGGGTCAGTCTCAACCACTATGTTGATGGCATGCTTCATGATGGACATTAGAAACAGATGAAAAAAAGAGTTGGATTCAAAGAATAATTATAGCAGTTGTTGACAAGTATGTTTTCAAGATAGGAACACGAGATTAATATGGGGGCTCGCTATTATTTCTGTGAGTCCTCCATTCAAACAGCTTTCATGTTAAGATGTGGCAGGCTGTTTATTCCCAAAACGGCTGCAACAATATTGTCTTTCCCATGTGCTCTTTCAGAATCTTACACCTCCTTCATCTCCTATCCTTGAACCGTGATAGACCTCGGTGTACAGCAGAAGTGAGCTCTAAGCCTAGGACCTGTCAATAGTTTCCACCTGGCTTTCTCACTTAGGGTGCACCAGCAAACCCAGACATCAGTAATTCAGGAAACTTAGGCCACAGGGAGCAGAACCAAAGTCCCTGGCCCTGAGACCTGGACAAGCTCCAGGTGATAGCCAGCACCAACTGGCCTGCCCTGTGAGTGAGCCACTGGCAGAGGGGACTACCCCACACAATAGACACCAGCCTCTCCCGCAGACTCATGAACAAAATAAACAACTGTTGTTGTTGGAAGCCACTGTTTTTGGGTGGTTTGTTAGGCAACAATAACAACCAGAATATAAGATAAAGGGTCATTCCTGCTACAGTTGTCCTGGGAGCTGTTACCACAATCCCCCTTTTGTACCTTCCCCTCTTTCTCCTTTTTTTCTCCTGTTAGTATCTGCAGTCAGATTTAACTACACCGGGGTGGGATGCAGTGGGGCAGGGGAAGAAATGTGCTTAATGTAATTAACAGTTAGGTTGTATCCCAAAAAAGGAAAGGGAGAATTCTAACCTAGAGGTAGCAACTTTTTTCAAACTTGCTTAGTGCTTTTTAGGACGTCATTGCCAAATAATATATGCTATTTCTTCTCTTTGTGTGTCTGAGAGTTCATTTTGTGGAGGCATGGTGGTACAAAACGTCTCATCATAAAATGCAATGGATGATCCAAAACGTCCAGATACTGAAAGGTAATGGATATCCATACTTTCTCTAAAGGTATTTTTGATGACAAATGGTCAGCCAAATTGCATGCATGTGGACTATTAATCCTTTCCTATATTAAAAATAATCAAATACAGGGTCTAAAATGTTATTTTAACTGTTGCAGCATATAGAGACATGTAAGGCCTTGCCCCACAGTTCTTTGGAGGCTCCACTTCGATTTGGGGAACCAACAAAAAGATTCAGAGATCTCACTTAGAAACACAACATTTCTTCAGTCGTGGAGGGCTTATTAAGTCTTTGGCTGCCTTTTATTTTAACCTTGCTTCATCAAAACCAGTGCAATACAGATCATGGCCTCGATAAATATTTGTGAGTTGTTTGAACTTTGTTCCATGCCCTTATATACTCTCAGGAAATCAATTTTGGACTAAAAAAGTTTGAAGATTCTGTCATCAGAACTGGACTGATTTTGGGCCAATTGTGATAAGCACACAAGAGTAAGGTTATTTGAAATTTCAGTCTGCAGAATCTTTTGAAAAAATGATTATGACTGCATGGGAAATTGCATAGAAATTTATACCCAAAGTAGTTTTTTAAGCAGTTTAAGGTCTGAACAGTTTTTTTAGATGACTTTTCAAGAATATTTACTTATAGTCAGCTAACACATGATCTGCCCTTACTTCTCTCTCTCTCTCCCCCACCCCCAACTCTCCCAACCTATTCTTCAGGATCAGATTGAGGAAGTGAATTTCTCTGGGGCCTTTTCACTAGTGTGACCCTGAAAGGGTGTATGGGTAGGGGTCAGGGCCAGCTGAACAGCTGCTAGCCACTTTAGAGATTCCTAGGAAAATCTTGTTTGTGATTTATATGTTCATGAGCCCAGGAAAGGGCAACTTCTCTGTGGAGAGGGAGAATGGAAGCTTCCACACAGATATGACATCTCTGGCAACTTATCAGCTGGGGCCCTCTGGCTCTCTCATGATTTGGCTGTGGAATTTGGGTTTGATTTGGCAGGTCACTTAACCTCTGCTTCCTCCACTTCCGCAGCTGTCAAATGGGGTCACCACATCCTAGTCAATATCACAGGACTTTATAAAGTTGAGCAAATACTAATGGCAAGCAGTTTACAACAAGAAGAGCTAAAGCTTCAAAGCTCAGTTCAACCACTTCCCATTAGGTGACTTCAGGTGTCATTGGCCTCTCTCTGCCTCTGTTTCTTCACTGGAAAATAAGAATAATAGGGTCTATGTAGTAGAGCTGTTTGAGGGTTAAATGATATAGCATTGTACATGAAGTGAAGCAACTGATAGTCTTAATAAATGTTAACTGCTTCACCTGCTCTGCAGCTCATTTCATCTCACGTGTGTCACCGGTCTGTGACCAGAAGGCTGGAAATGTAAGAGAATCCTAGAATGAAAGGTAAAGACTCTCACTTGACAGACAAGTAAAAAGGAATTCAGTAAGACTGGGTGACTTGCCTAGGGCTAACCCATTCATTAGTGAGAGAGCAAGAGTTAGAGTTCAGGTCTCCTAATTGCTGGGTCGGGGCAGGTCTCCATTTTCTCTCCTTTGAAAGCCGTGCTGAAATTTCTATCCTGATAATTCTTTCTCAGTCTGATTTAAACCCTAAAACTAGTTTATGGCATCAACTAGTGTATTCCCTAAGTCTCCTGCAGCCCCCACAGAAAATGCAGATAACCTCCTCTCCAGAAAGGGCCTCTCACCCCATCCCACCCCACCCTACCCCCCTCCACCCCCCCTGCACAAGGCCAGAAAAGGTAACGCTTTCTGGGAGACCTGAGGAAGCCACTAACGGGGACAGCAGGTGAGGAGGGAGGCTGGGGAGTCGCAGCTGCTGGCAAAGGTTGCCCTAGTAACCGCGCCGGCTCCATTCAGGAAGTCAGCGGAACTCCAAGATGCAAAATGATCCTCTTCACCCAGCTCCTACAAGCACAAAGGAACCAAAGGAAAAGAGGGATGGCCAGAAAGTGAGGCCCAGGGCCAGGTGGGGGCCCATGCTGTCGGTGGGTTACAACCTTCCACCTTCCATAAAAGAGAGAATAACTCTTTGAATCTTCTGGCTTGTGTGAACCATAAAAAACACCCATTTAACATGAGTCCATTGGTGGCAATAGAGGAAAGCAGATCCCCTCCTGTTCACCAGCCTTATGAAACAATATATACCAGGAGAGCGGGGAGAAAGCCCAAACACTGCACCTTTATGGAGGCCCTAAACTCTCTTTGCTCCCTTTTATGCAGACTGATGACAAAGACCATTTGCTACCAATTTATTGGAAACTTTTTTTTTCCACAGCTTGAGCTGTTTAAATTCAGGGAGCTTCCTCTCCCCAAATCGCTGTCAGACACTTGCTGAATGGGCCAGGCTCAATTATGTTCCCTCCGCAGGTTCAGCTCACACTGTGACCCTGCATGGCTTCCTGCTATTCATATGTGTTACTTCCCCTTTGTGGTAATGGCTTGTGGCACTTGGCCAGAAAACATTATTAATTTCAGAAGTGGACTGACAAACAACAAACCCACAGTGAACTGAGAGGAAGTGCTGGGGAGGCCAGCTGTCGGTTTGAGCAGAGCGGTAGGAACTCAATGTATGCAACTTTGAGGAGGAAAGGAGATGATAATCCACAGAGAGGAAATGCACTAAAATTATCCTCAGCCCATGTTAAAGAAAAAAGAAAAAGAAAAAAGAAAAAGAAACCAGAACAAAGAAAGAGGGGGA